GACTTAAGGACCTCTGATGTACAAGGTACTGAGTTGACTTAGCATTTGAACTTTGTTAAGAATCATGAACAGAGATTCCTCAAGCAGACACAGACCATAAGTTCTAAGGCTTGCAAATGTATCCTAGTTATTAAAGCTCTTTTGAGACCCTGTTTCCTGGAAACCCTGGGGTCAGACTTCACCACTAAATTACCAAGGAATATTCCTGCCTGATTCTCACCCTGTTCCACGTTTTCTTGCCCACGCCCCTTCCTTTATTCATCTCTCCCATCCTGTGGCAGGAGACAGAGACTTTTTCATTAAACTGTGATTCCCATCATTTATCTAGGTTGACCTTACAGCCCTTGGTTGACCTTACAGCCCTCTTGGCTACTCTGTTTGTCTCAAGGGAACGAAAACATGTCGGAGAGCAGGTTATTTCGGGGAAGCTGCATCTTTGGTAGGAATGATCGTTATCTAAGCAAAAGTAACCTGAACTAAGTCCCTTTACATTTCTACCTGTACTCAGTTTGCATGCTATATACATGTTCACCCTCTATGATCTTTTAATGACTTACATGAACCTGTCTGGGAATGTGTGAGGAAATAAAGTTATAAAACAATATTTCACATTAGATTCGTGCCTTGTAGCTTCCAAAAGTATTTTCACACCCTATGTTTCATGCAATCCTTGTACAAGCAGTGGGGAATAAATAATAATATTAGTTTAATTTTATAGATGAAGAAATGTAGGTCCAGTGAGGGGACATAGTTCGCCCAAGATGGCATCACATAATTTGCTAGTGGTAGAGCAAGACTCGAACTCCTAAGTTCAGTGCTCTTTGGTCCTGATCTACTCTATCATTAGTGAAAGAAAAAATGGAAATTCCCCTGCATAGCTTAATTCTTCTAAATACCAGTTGCTCAATAAATGCATGTTAAAACTTTGGATTAAAGGGAGCTTTGGGCTCAATATTTTTGAATTGTCTTAGAACAGGTCCCACGTTGCTCTGTGCCTTAGATTCTGTTTATTGTTATATAGCCAGCCTTCCGTTCTTCTGTCCTTCCTTCCTTCCCTTCATATGCATATTTATTCATTCATCTAGCATTACTATGAATCCTGACATGTAACAGGCACTGAGCTGTTTACAGGAGGGTCCAGGAGTACCTAAGAAGTTTCCATCTCTGTGGTATGGTTCATAGCCCGGTGAGAGAGATGGATAAGCAACCAGAGAACATTGTAGAACTAGTCCTGTGATAGGTGTCAGAGGTGGATAATGATTCCCTGTCCCAGGGCTAGTGTGATAATTAGATAAGAAATTAGGTATGATATTCTTGTGGAATATAAAATGTCATAGCAACCATCATCACCATCATCATCATTATTATTATCAGATTATTATTATTATTCTTTCTTTTTCCTCAGTCTCTCCACCCATAACCTAGTAAAAGTGACTCCTGATTCTTGCCTTCCTGATACTCTGTAAGCAATTTGAGGGCATGACTGTGTCGATCTGGTTCAGTATCCCAGTTATGAGAATAGTACTCAATAAATATTTGTTGGCTGAAGAGGATTGAAAGCTCTAGAACAAAGTACCACTCGACGAGTATAAAAAGTAACTGTAGACACTCTCTCACCTAAGGAGAGGTGCCTGGATGGGATGGCTGGGTGGACTTTGGTTTGAGGACAGAGGTGGTAAGTTGAGGAGTGTCACTCATGTCTCTTGCCCAGGGAGTTTGCCCGTTGGAAGGTGAGGAACACAGCCATCGAGAGGAGAGATCTGGTCCGTCATCCAGTGCCCCTCATGCCGGAGTTTCAAAGGAGCATCCGCCTGCTTGGCAGGAGACCCACCACTCAGCAGTTCATCGATACCATCATCAAAAAGTACGGCACCCACCTCCTCATCTCTGCCACCTTGGGAGGTAGGTCAGCAGCCACTGGGTCACAGCCCTCCTATGACTTTGGGTCTGGGATGGAAGAGAGAGTGGGATGCCCTGAGAACAAAGCCTTCTCAGCCTCTCTTCCATCCCACATCACTCAGAAGTGTATTTTGCCAGATAAGCCAAATTATCTTGGTTGTTGTGGTCATATCTAAGCAGATGATTCAGTTCTATGGGACAGTCTAATTTGAGAGTTTACTAACTTTTGTGGAAATATGGCTTAACCTCGGAATTGGCTCAGTTCATTAGGAATGTTGTACCTGATTATTGTCTCAGTTCCTTTGGCATGTGGTCTGATCTAGAGAAATAATCAAATTTCAGGTGTTGTTTAGGGAATTGCCTTTGTTTATTTAAGTCTACTTTAGGGATTGATCACTTGAGGTTATCATTGTACAAAAGGACTACCATTTATATCTGCTGGGACTAGGTAAATAGAAAAGCTGACTAATTGCTCCACCCAGCTCACCCTTACCCATCCCTTCCCACAGGTCCAATCAATCTTTGAGGGCATAAGGGCTGGATAAAGGTGAGAAAATAAATGCAGAGAAAATGGGAAATGGTATAGACTAATGCATTTCGATGCTTATGGGTCCTACCTGAATGTGTCATTTGATATCATGAGCTACAACTGGTTTTCCACCCCAACAACTGGGTCCTCTGATCTTTAAGAAAGCCCCTTTGGTGGTAGAACACCATGCCACTTGCTCATAGAGGTGCTAAGGTACATTTTGATATGACCCATGCCAGCTAAAAGAGCTTGGTGTATTGACAGAGGCTGGGTGGACTGAGGTGTAATTATAACAGGGGATTGTCTTCTTCAGAGGAGGGTTGAGCATTACAAACTGGTGTGGCCATACCAATTTCATGGAGGAAGTGGCGGTTTGGCTTGACAGGAGCAGGTTAGATAAAGGGAGGTGGCAGAACTTTCTAGGCTTAGCATACAGTGAAGATTTTGAGAAAGAGCAGATCAATAATTTGATAAAGTAGTAAATGGGGGTAGAGAGATTTGTTAGACAAATTCATTCATTCTTACAATAATATTAGCCACTGCTTAGTAAGCATTTGCCACATAGCAAGTGTTGTATGTTGTCTTTAGACCTCAGAATTCCAAGTTAAGTCATATTACGTCCATTACACAGATAAAGAAGCTGAGACCCAGAAGAGGGATAGCTAGTAGGTGGCAAAGAAGTCTAAGTTGTTAACTTAGGGTGTTATATCCACAGAGTCTGAATTATTTTTTTCAATCCAACATCAGTCATCTCTTTAACCAACTCACTCATTCACCAACCCCTCCAAATGCTCCAACAACCAACCAACCAGCATGTATTTGTTGCCTATGGTTAGTCAAATATTAAGTAGGGCTTTAAATGTTAAATCATTAATATGCATTCTATTCTATTATAAAGTGAAAATGGATTTATTTCTACATTGAGTGTGGCATTAACATGTACCTTTACCTTTTAATGTCTCCCACTTCTCATTTTACTTGGAAGAAAAAAAAAAAAAGTCCTGTGATCAATTCAATCCCTCCATTAAAAACTGTACTCTGGTCCGAGTTCTTATTTTTTATTTTTATTTTTTTCCTTTTTGTCTTTTTTTCGTGACTGGCAACGGATCGCAACCCTCAGTGTCGNTCTGTATGTGGGATCCGAACCCTCGGCGGGAGGGCCGCCACACTCCCAAGCGGCGCACTGTTGCAGTGCGCCACCGGGCCGGCCCCCGAGTTCTTAGAAATTGCAAGTAACAAAGACCTTTCTTTCTTTATGAAATATATTTTTAATTTCTCCAAGGCGAGGTAGTGAATTATTCACAGAGCCTTGTTCCTCTCCTGTTTTTACAAAACAACATTTAAAAATATGCAAAGCTTTGGATTGAGATTCAGTGTTGGAGAGCAGGTCCTAAATGTTCCCTCAGCCCTCAACGTGGAGGAGTGGAGAGAGGGAAAGTGGAAGAGACTTACTGTTGATTGAACACTACATGCCAGAAGCTGAAAGAAGTCCTTCTTACAACAGCATTTCATTCATTCATTCATAGAAAAGTATTTCTTAAGGGCCTCTTCATGCAATGTGAGAGAAGGGACGTGGGAGGTTGTAGTGAATGGAAGAGCAGGCTCTGTGCTTTGATTCCCTGGGGTCCAGTCCTGCCTCTTGCTCTGCACCAGCTTAGTGTCACCTTGGTGAGTAACTCAATCCCCTAAGTTTCAGTTTCCTCCTTTATAACTAGTCATAATAATAGCACTTCCTTCATGCATATTGTGAGAATTAATTAAAATGATGCATCAAAAGTGTTTAGCATGGAGTCTTGAACCTACCAAATTGTTATTATTGTTATTAAGATTATTGTTGTTATTATTTAATGGGGCTAATGAGCTTGGGAACCCAGGATCTGATCCCAATCCTGCCACTCACTTGTTGAGAGGGAAACATTGAAAAACCATTTTCCAATCTGGATATCAGTTTCCTGCATCAATGTGCAAGGAGGTGCAGAAAATGCTATTCACTGTAATTGTTTTCTAAGAACACTGCATTAGTTGAGAAGAAACTCTTTGATAAACCCTTTGAGGTGTCAGGTAAGTTTCTAAGGGCATAATAAAACAACAAAAGATGATTCCTAAACTATCACATATGGGACTTGGAAATGCATTTGTTTGGCTCTTTAGGGAAGGGTAAGATGAAGGAAACATAGTGGGAATGAGGAAGTGAAGCCAGTGGAAGGGCTGACAGCTAAGACATTTCTATGGGATCTTCAAATTTTTGATGAATTTATTAAACTCATAAAATACTTGGTAGGAATGAT